ACTAGTTGAGCTTGAACCACCGACCTTGCGGTTCAAACCTACCTTGCAGTGCAGCACATTAACCCACAGTGCCACATCAGGACTCCTCAAACCCCTGTAGGAAATGGGAAATGCTAATTTTTCATTAGGAGCCCTGGAAATGTTCAACTGCAAAACAAAAGGTTGGCATTTTGAATCTACCAGCTGTTCCATGGGGGAAAGATGTGGCTATTTGCTTCCATCAAGATGACAGCCTTGGGAACCCTGTGGCACACTTCTAGTCTGTCATGTAGGGCCATTGAGTTGGCATGTGCTTAATGGCTGGAGCCTTTGATGGTAAGCAACTCTCCTGCAAATGGCAACCAAGAGTCAGTTCAGCAAACAGATTCAGTTACAGTTCCACCAACAGCACCTTATTTATTTATTTAAGCATGGTGGCTCTATAGAGAAAACACTGGACTTAAAACCACAAGGTCAGCAGTTTGAGCCCACTAGCTCTGCGGGAGAAAGAAAAGGCTTTCTGCTCCAGTAGACTTACAGCTGCGGAAACCTTAAGCAGGGTTGCTATGAGTCGTAATGGACTCTGTGGCATTTTTAACAACAACAGATTTGAAGAGCAAATCTTAGGGAAACATGGCTGAAGTCCAGAGTTTTAAAGGGCTGCCCACATGACTATCCTTACTGCTGACATCTCCCCCTTTGTCACCAAGCTGTCCCTTATGAAGCTGTCTTTTTGGCATATATCCTAACCCTGAAGGGGCTGGATCAATCTACAGGGTTTTACCAAGAGAATTGAAGTTGTATTTTGTTTCAGGAACATCATCTTCTATCTAAGGTGTTTTAACAGTGCTCTAATACCTCCCTCCCCCTGCAGAAACTACAAATGCTTCCTGTTGTAAACAGGGTGCACTGCTTGAGCGAGGCTCCTCAAGGCTGTGCTGGAATTATAGGCCACTTTGTTTGTGGAATAGCTTGGGAAACTTAGCACCATTGATTTGCATCAGTGCCTCCAGAATAGCCTTTGCCTTTTCCTTAAAGATACTATCGAAACTGTGAAATTCATTAAATAGCCCCAGAAATGGATCAGGTTATTTAACACAACATCCCTAATGGCGCAATATCTCAGCTGTCCACACTGATAGTGAACATTGTCTTGGATAGTGTTATCAGCTCAGGACACCCGCTATGAATATTGATCCCAAGGTTGTTACAGCCATCACTTGCCATCGGGACAGGTCAGGGTTGGAACCCACCTAGCATCAAAGCAATTTAAAGACGGCACTCAGGCGGAATTTTAATGCCCACGCTGAGAAAACAAATCAACTCTACTCACAGAAGGAACGAGGCCTGCTGAATGTGTATATATTTATTTTAGTAGGATAACCTAGGGAAAGATCTATGGGGAGAAATGGCAGTAGAGCCTTAGGAGTCAAAAGCCAAGTTGTACTCAAAGGGGAGACTTCTTGCCTCCTGGTCTTTTATATAAACCAGGTGACCAGAGAAACAATTTCCCAGGGGACTGTCCCTGCACCCCAAGTTTAATAATTCATTCTGTCTTTCTGAGGTGTGTGTGGAGAATTTCTCTTTAACAGTTTAGTACAAGAAGGCACTTTCTAGTCCCCCAAATTTGATAAGGCCTGGACAAGACAGTGGTTTTTCTTCTGTATAATTTATTGCAGAAGCTGAGTACTGAGTGTGAGATTAAATATAATCTTGTGCTGCCCTTAACATGTCAGAAGAAAAGGAGAGAGAAAGGGAAAGAATTTCCAAAAATAATTTAAAGATGTCTTCGACAAATAGGGAGTTCTTAAAAGATTCACAATCACATAAAGAGTATGACCTGTGTTTTCGACTTTCCAATTTTTCAATACTCTCTCCTTTAGTTCCTTTCCAATATCTAAGGGTTGGCTATGAAGTGAAAGGTTGGCAATTTGGACTCACAGCCCTGCAGAAAGGCGTAGCAGTCTGCTTATGTTAAAAGTGCTGTTGTTAAGTGCTGTTGCATTGGTTCTAACTCATATTTACCCTGTATAGGGTTTCCAAGGAGCAGTTGGTGGGTTTGAACCATGGATCTTATGGTCAGCAGTCCAGTGCTTACTCTACAGTGCCACATCAGGACTCCACTCCATTAAGATTACAACCAAGACAACCCTATGTGGGAGTTCTACTTGGTAACATATGAGGTCACCTTGAGTTGGAATTCACTTGATAGCCACGGAGTTTTCCTATATTGAACATCTTTGTGGATCTCAAAGGAAAGACAATTCTTGCAATGCAAACACATTTTTCTGAGACAATTTCTTTTTTTATATCATTGCAATGATTACAATCTCCTCTGTGCATCATTATTCAACAGTATTTGCTTCCATTCCCTCTGGTTTTTTGTTTGTTGTTGTTGTTGTATGTGTGTGTGTGTGGGGGGGTTCTTGAGACAATTTTTAAAGTGAAATTAAAATGACCAAATCTTGGCTGTTTTTGACTGTGTTGGTCCTCCCATCTCTCTGATTTGGGTGTGATTGCTCTGGAATGACGTTCTACAGTGCCATGAAAAAAGTCTAGGTTTTTTGCAGAAAAACAGGTAAGAAGAGGAACATAATCCATGAGGATGCTACTGTAAATAGATACAATCCGAGCTACACTGTAAAAATCTAAGTTGGACAAAATATGGGAGGTAAGAGAAAAGAAAAAGGATATAAAAAAAATCAGACAATTCTCGTAAACAAATTTTTACATTTGTTGAGGAGACAGTGTCTTATCTGTCATCCAAAAAGGCTCTGTGGTCGGGAATCCAGGCTCCTGGGGCCACTGTTTAATTCCAGGGCAGTCAGGCCCTTTGGTGGGAGGTGATCCAGTGGCTTGGCCAGGACACTTCCTGTCCTGAGCTTTAAAAGCACAATCCATCTTCGCTCTAGGCTAAGAGCTGGCTTGAATCTGCAGGACTTTCAAGTCAGCTGTGAATACTGGTGGCCGCCTCTGGGAGGGGACCGCTAGGTTTGAATGAGAAAAGCCACAAGGAGTTGGCCTCTCAGGTCCCCTCTTCAATAACAGATAGGATTAGCCGCCCCCAGCACTTTCCTGGGAAGATTTCTCCTCCTCTTCCTACTTCTTACCTGCTCAGACAATATTAATTGCCAAGTCATTGTTGGGAAGCCCCATGGGGCAAGGAAGAAAGGAATTGCACGCTGGAGTTAGAGGTGGTTCTGGGAAAAGCCTCAGAAATTGCCGCTGGGATAAACGCCTGGTGCTCCCAGGGGGCAATAAGGGCAAAGAAAGGGAGAATGGGTGTGGCCTGGAGTTTTCCTAAACCACCAGCGCCTGCCATTCTGAGAGTCTTACTGGGGCAGAAGGGGCCCTTCCATTGTTTATCATTCTCTGACTTTAAATGCAACCCAGACAACAATCTTTTAGCCATTTTCTTTTGGGGGGCAGTGGGTGTCAAAGATGCAGACTAGTTCCCAAAGATTCAATTCTGTTGCCAAAGCCTGAAATGACACTAGGGATTGTGCACAGCTTGGCAGGCAGCCAGTGAACCCACGGGCACCCACCTCACTTCAGCTTGGAGTCCACAGCTAGAGTGAGGTTCCCAAAGTGATGGGACACCCTGGTAGGGCCTGGGGCACCCATCCACAACCCCTCTTGCTCTTCTGACCCAGCTGGAGCCGGGTGGAAGGGACGGACTCTGGATACGGTAGCAGCGTTTCTTCTCCATTTCAGAGGCAGTAGGGTGTAGTGAAAGGAGCTCTGGTAGCGTAGTGGTTACGAATCGGGCTGCGAACCTTAAGGTCAGCGGTTCGAAACTACCAGCCGCTCCGCGGGAGAAAGATGAGGCTTTCTACTCCCGTAAAGATTTACACCCTCGGAAACCCTGTACAGGGTCGCTATGGGTCGGACCCGACTCGATGGCACTTAACAACAACAACAACAGGGTGTAGTGAAAAGGACAGTGTCTGGGAGAAGAGACCTGGGTTCAAACCCAGGCTCTGCCACTAAGTAACAGTGACCCTGGGTAAATACCTTTTCTCTGAACCTCAGTTTTTTCATCTTTTTTGTTGTTAATTGCCATCCAGTCAGTTCCAGTTCAGCGACCCTATATCGTTTTCTGAGGCTTTTAAAATCTTTGCGGGAACAGGATGACAACTCTTTCTCTTGCAGAGCTGCTGGTGGGTTCGAACCACCTACTTTGTGGTTCGCAGTTCAGTGCTTATCGAGCACAGGCATTGCTGTTTTTGTTGCTAAGTGCCGTGGAGTCGGTTCTGACTCACAGTGACCCTGTATAGAGTGTCCAAGGAGCAGCTGGTGGGTTTGAACCACTGACTTTGTGGTTAGTGATCCAGTGCTTATCCTACAGCGCCGCATCCACGCCCTTATCCCAGGGATGCGGAGTCAAATGATACTTTACTAAAAACTGTGAGAACAGGGCATTAAATGCAAGGCGACTGAGTCTGAGACCACTGCTGGGCGCTGAGGCTCCCTGGCGCGGCAAGAGATGCGCTGAACGTTGCCTTGGAGAAGGAAGCGGTGCTGGCTCCAGTTGCACCCCACAATTAAAGGCAGGAGCACTGGAGATGGAACGCAAACCACAGTCAGACGTGTGTGTGTGTGTGTGTGTGTGTGTGTGTGTGTGTGTGTGTTGTGGCTAGTGGAAGCATTACGATTTCCTTTCCTTCTCCCCTCGCACGCACCCCGAGTCCCTTCGGGTTGGGCGGAGGCGAGCGTAGCCAGCGGCGCCGCCCGGCGGAGGCGCGCAACGAGCGCACCAAGCGCCCCCTCAGCTAGGTGACCGTCCCCGCCCGGCGTCCAGCAGACTTGGGCGACTACGAGTGCGCCCTGCACGTGGCGAGGACCTCGGCCGAGCAGCTGCCAATCGGCGTGCAGCCCCCTGCTGCTCTCCCCGCCCCCATTGCCTCCCGCCCAGCTCCAGTACGTTGACCCGACCCTCCTTCCAGCCGGAGAGCGGCGGTCTAGGCTCAGTCAGACAGTGATCCCGAGCGCGGCCATCCTGGACCCCGCGGGCGGCGGGCATGCTGGCATGGCAAGACAGCGGGGCCAAAGCGGCTCCCTCCCTCCACAAGATATCCTTCTCGGTCCTGGACATCCTGGACCCGCAGAAGTTCACCCGCGCTGCGCTCCCGGTCGTGCGCCCCGCGCCCCGGGAAGCCAAGAAAAGTTTGGCCGAGGCCGAAGCAGGGAAGGGCGTCAGCTCCGGGGATCCATCCCGACACCGGAAGACCCCTGGTAAGGATGCAAGGGACCCCGTCCCCCGGAGGCCCTAGCTCCCAGGATGCGCGCGGCTGGGGAAGAGGCAGCCAGAGACACAGCGAGTAGCGCAGAACCGCAGCCTCCCCAAAGGGGAAGGAACCCAGGGTGAGTCGCGAAATGCAGCCACGGCCTCCGAGCTGCTTGGAGGTGCAGAGGAAGCCCCCAGTCCCCCGGGGCAGAGGTTGGCCACTGAGGCCCAGTCCCTTCTCTGATTTGCTCGCAGTGCAAACAACCTGCCCAGGCGCAATCCATGCGCCTTCCATGTGCCAGGACTTGGTTAGGAGCTGCGATAAAAATAACGGAAAACTTTAGAACCTGAGAGGTAGACAGCGTCCTTAACACCACCCCCACTTCAGGAATGTGGGAACTGAGGCTCTGTTAAGCCCTATGCCCTATTATTTGGTGAGTAACGAAGTCAAGATACCGCACCGGGGGGTACCCAGTTCCAGCCTTCGTGAGCCACCGGCAGAGACACAGCCTTCCCGCGTGCTCGCCGTGGATTGGGGCTGGGGGAGAGAGGCTTTGGGTCCTGTCTCCTTGAAACGCTGCCGGCCGCCCGGTGAGGGCTGCAGTGAAGTTTGTGCCGAGTGTAAGCAAGGGCACCAGGTTCCACCTAGGGTCGGGGCGCAGGTCTCTGGGGAGGTTGGATCCCTCGCGGTCCCAAGTTTGGCGGTTGATTGTCTGGGGCTCGGGACGCCTCTGGAGGCCAGACCTGGGCCCCGGTTACCCGCCTGGTAATTGTTCCTATCGGCCCTCCGAGGGGCTGCGCTTTCCCCCTCCCCACCCCCGTGATCGATATTCTATTACTGGCGCCTGCATATCTCCTGCCCCGCAGCTTGCAGGTACTGACTTCAAACCCCCTTTCCCTGTCTGATCCTAATATTGTTCGATTAAAACTTACCTTTAATAGATGACATCTATCGATCTGGCCCCGCACAAATCTGAAACTCTATTAACACGGCAAGAGAGAGAAGATGGGAAAGGGGAATTTCACTTTAACGAGGGCGGTGGGGTGGGGGGACTTAATAACTTCTTTTTAATTGTTGGAAGTCCCAGACCAAAATAAGCTTCCAGGGATTGGGGAGACTCACCCCGAAATGCACTCGATGTCTTCATGTACAGTAATCCTAACCTCCATGTTGTTGTTGTTAAGTGCCATCGAGTCGGTTCCGACTCATAGCGACCCCTGTACAGGGTTTCCAAGGAGCGACTGGTTAGTTTGAACCACCGACCTTGTGGTTCAGTTCCCCCCGCCCAAAATGGTTGTTCAATACACTCATCATTTATTCTCGATGGGAGGGGCTGCCATTCAACACACTCTGGGGACATCTACTTGGTGACAGATGTGTAGAGGGGTTACCTCACCCCAAACCCCAGTTCCTACGTGGCGCTATAGAGGAAGCGCAGGAGGGGGGCGGGTCGTTCCCGGCTTCTGCTCACTGCCCCCATCTCCCCTAGATGCTACAGGCCGAGGCGCCCGCGCTCCATCCCCGCTGGAGGGCTCCGAGGCCGAAGAGGCTGACGAGGAGGACGCGGAGGACCCGGGGCGGCGGCGGGAGCGGGCGGCCGGGGGCACTAGCAGCAGTGGTCCCGCGGGCTCCCCGGACTCGCCCGGCTCCCCGCGGCCTCGGCGCCGGCGCGCCGAGCCCAGCCTGGCCAAGCCGGGGGCACTAGCAGCAGTGGTCCCGCGGGCTCCCCGGACTCGCCCGGCTCCCCGCGGCCTCGGCGCAGGCGCGCCGAGCCCAGCCTGGCCAAACCGCGGCGGGCGCGCACCGCCTTCACCTACGAGCAGCTGGTGGCCTTGGAGAACAAGTTCCGGGCCACGCGCTACCTGTCGGTGTGCGAGCGCCTGAACCTGGCGCTGTCGCTCAGCCTCACCGAGACGCAAGTCAAAATCTGGTTCCAGAACCGTAGGACCAAGTGGAAGAAGCAGAACCCTGGCGCCGACGGCGGGGCGCAGGCTGGGGGCGTTGCAGCCCAGCCCGGGGCGCCGGTGGCGCAGGCTGGGGCGGGCGGCGCTGGGGCCAGCCCCGGACCCCCGGGCCCGGGAGCGCTGCCCTTCCAGACTTTCCCCTCCTACACGTCCGCCAACGTCCTCTTCCCGGCTGCTTCCTCCTTCCCACTGACGGCCGCCGGAGGTCCCTTCGCACCCTTCCTGGGGCCCTCCTACCTGACCCCTTTCTATGCTCCGCACCTATGAACCAGGACCGCCCCGAATCTCCAGGTGGTGAGGAGCAGTGGGGGACTGGCATCACCTCTGGTCCCACTTCTCCGCGTAGGGATGCGGAGGAACAAGGTTCGCCCCCTCTTGGTGCCTAAGTGTCTGCGCTCCTTTCCCTCCAGCTGCGGGAGTGGCCGCCAGGGGGCAGGGAGAAGCCTAGGACTCCTAGCTGCGTGGATCCCCTGAACCCATGCAATTCACAAAGCGGATCTTTAAAGTATCCAGAAACTGAGGTTAACCTCAAATCTCCGTTTCTCAACCTTGCGCTTCATTTTCGGGCAAGGATTCTTTTTGAGGGTCTGGATTTGGGGAGCGCGGCTAGCAATAGTAGGAATGAGAAAAAAAGAGACGCGGAAACCAAGATCTCCTCCACCTGCTGCTCACATCTAGAGTGGGGTCTGCCAAAATTTTGGCTAGCTCAGGTGGTGGGCGCTTTCTCTTTTTGTGGTGGATTATTTCATTCTTCATCACAGTTGCGTATTGGTCCAAACCCAGCCCTTTCATAGCTCCTAAAAACTGAGTAGAACTCCGAGAGAACCATGGGAGAGAACCACTTGGTTCTACACAAACCCCCTGCAGTTGTGAAAAAAAAAAGAGACTTATTTCTAAAATCTACAACTCAACATTTTTCTTGGAAGCAATTCTTGTTTCAAACAAAGTCAACAACAGTCTATTCCATCTTCTGAATAGAGTTTATGCTAGGAAAGGCGCGCCACTTTGTAGCTAGACTTATATAGAGCAGCTTTGACAAAACCACAGCAATGACCCAAAATGCCTAAAAAATACAAATGACCATAAAAGGGACCAACAGTTCAACCAGTGATGTTAGTCTAGGCAATAGACAGCGTATTTTCATCTGCAGTATTTGATACTTTAAAACTTTTGTCCTGACTAATCTATTTGTCCCAGCCATTCTTTGGCATCCAATCTCTGGACAAAGCTGTGAAGAGTTAGCTCCACTCATATACACGACAGTAGTGAATTGAACTATTTAAAAGCACAAAACAAAACAATTTTAGGCCCTCATGTAACATTCTGACTTGAAAACAATTCTTATTCCAAACCAACTCTCTCCCATGTTGGCATGATGAATAAGCAAAAGGTTGACAGGGGTTACAAAAGAAATTGTTCTCGGGTGTATTCATAGTGGATTCAACTAAGGTATACTTTACTCTCATCTCCAAAGGGTTTGTTCTGTAAAATTCCCTCACCGTGTTTATTTGGAATTTTCTTAGCTGTCTGTGTTTATCTTAGTAATATCTTACAGCCTACATCTCAGAAACAGACAGATTGAACTAGGTTATGTGTGTTTCAATCTCTATTTCATTATCTGAGGGCAACTGATATCTATCGGTACTGTATTTCTTGGCAACCTGTGTCATTAATAATTAAATTTAATGATCAGTGTTTTTTTTTTATAATGTAAAAGCACACAATTCAGTGTTATGAACACATTGTTATTAAAATCTTGAAAATACCCGATTCTGTTATTATCAGAAAATATCCTATCCCTCCATTTCCCCCAAATTCAATGAAGACGTCACATTTACGAGACTGTCATAAATATGATTTGAGACTGTGTATGTAATCATCAGCTGCTTACTAAATATTTTATTCTTTCTACTCTAAATAACAAAGATGCTCTGGAAACATCACATGATCATTTTCTAAAAGACAGCTGATTACAAATGAAGGCACTGTAGCCGATTGATAATCACTTTACAGGTTAGTTAACACTCCTTCAGTAACTTGATTTCTCAAACGCAAAGTGCCATGTATATGAACAGACAATTCATGGACAGTCTCAAGTGTGTAGGGACAATATTAACAAAGAAGCTGGCAGTCTTGAAATACACGGTACATTCTGCATTCCAGCTCCCCCCCCCCCCCCCCCTCCCCAGGTACATAATCACAGGAGAGGACCAAGGAGGGAGGTGGGGGGTTATCTCTGGGACCAGCGTGGAGTGCTGTGAATCCTGACCCCTTTTTCCACAAATTGTCACTGAGGAACACCTCAAACGTGCAGCTCTGGACTCCTGTTACTTTAAAAGGCTCAAGCTCCTGGTGTGTTTGTCAATAAAACCTTTTTGTAATGATTTCTTGTCTAATTATTCCTTGCCTTCTATTAGCAAAGTTTTAAAACAATTTTGCAATTACCGGGAAAAAGTATATACATACACAAACGAGGGGTTTCACTAAGTTTGTGGAAGATTTGCATAATATTTTGTCTTATTTTTCCATGAGCTTTTTGAATCCCTCTTTCTCTATATACATACACTCATACACACACACACATATATAGTTGTTAAGTGCTGTCAAGTCGGTTCTGACCCATAGCGACCCTGTATAGATAGGATTCTGAGGCTCAGCTGGTGAGCTTGAATCACCAATCTTGCAGTTCAAACCAACTTTGCAGTCTGGCGCATTAACCCACAGCGCCACACTAGGCTGAATGGGTACTAGCTACACATCTGGGCATTTTTGTGTGTCTCCCCTCACTTCATATCAGCTGGACACTTCACTCTCAGGTCTAGCTAGCCCTCCGTGGCTATGCTCTTGGACTCAGGAGTCCCCACACTTTGGACCAACCAGCCCTTCTTCTCTTTCTCATCTCCAGATCTATGGGTGTCTATGGAACATGGTCAAACTCAGCCCATATCTTCATTGCTTCCTTTCAGGCTCTTCCACGCACCAGAAAACCAATGTGGTCACTAGCAAGCTTACATGCCTGCTAAGGTTTTCCTTTGAGTTTTAGTCTTGGAGGGGGGTTTGTCCTGAAGGGACTTGATTGCTTGCCTTGATGGCTCCCCAGCAAACAACTTGCTTGTTCTTGTAGTAGCCAATCAGACTGCCATTTTTGTTTTGGATTTTTCCTGCTGGTCTTTCTTTCAAGAAGAATCTGTTGCCCTAGCCATTCCAGGCTGGTCTGGTTGTCCTTTCAAGTGTGTATGTCCCACCTCAGAAGGTTCTAGATGGATTCCAGGATTCCATCTAAGGTCCTATAGACTACCCTGGTTGTCCTTTCAAGTGGGAATGTCCCACCTCAGAAGGTTCTAGATGGATTCCAGGATTCCATCTAAGGTCCTATAGACTACAAAGGCTCTGCAAGAAGCCTATTTCACTGAGTAAGTTACCCTTTTCAGGTATTCCAATTAGTTATAGGCTGAAGTCATCCCTGTAGCCTTGATCTTGCCCCATTGCACTTTCACATATTTGGTCCCCTGAAAGCAATCCTTCAAGGATGAAGACTCACCTCTGATGAAGAAGTGAAGACAGTGGTACATTTGTGGTTCGCAACTCAGCCAAAACCATTTTTTAATAAGGGAATATGAAAGAACTTGACTAGAGGAAATAAGTGCAAATTGCTACAATTTGATGAACTTGACCTATACTTAGGATGTAGTAGCTCAAAATACCAACTGAGAACGGAGTAGTCATATCAAGGATCAATCCTATCCCCTCTGTATACAGGATTAATACGGACAGGAAACTTAGACATTGGCTACCTAAAATGGGGTGGGGTGGGGGAGCTAAAGGATTACAAGTTTTCAAGAGGGAGTTTAGTTTCAAAGGGTGAAGGGGAAGGCAGACTCCCCACTGAATAGTATTCATCTTGTCAAGATGGGTCTGGTGAAAAGAGATGGGGATAAGCTTCTTATGATT